TGGAGTGCATTGTCGTGATCTCAGCTCACTGCAACCTCCGCCTCCCGGGTTCAAGTGATTTTCATGCCCCAACTTCCTCAGTAGCTGGGATTACAGGCACACGCCACCACGCCCAGCTAATTTTTGTATTTTTGGTAGATACGGGGTTTCACCACATTGGCCAGGCTGGTCTCGAACTCCTGATACCCAGTGATCCACCCACCTTGGTCTCCCGAAGTGCTGGGATTACAGGCATGAGTCACCGCGCCTGGTCTATATCAAGTTTCTCTTGAGTTCCACAAGACACTGATTTTACCTTGTAGAGTGGGAACAAATGAGGCTTCTAGTGCAGCAGGACTGGCTGTTTCTACCATGCACTGGAATGCCTTGTCTCCCAAATGAACAGCGTCCCACCCTTCACTAATGTCCCATCGCCTTCTGCATCTCCTTTAATGTTCTATCCACAAGGCTCCCAGAGGCAGGCCTAGCCCCATTACCTGGCACAGCGGGCACAGTTGCCTTGTTGGGACCGATCCAGGTTCATGGAGAGGTCAGGCCCTCTTCGAGAGTTCTGAAATTGCCGCCCGAACTCCTCCAGAATGGGTTTCAGTGGGCCCAGCCCCTCCAGTTCGCTCCTCAGTGAAGCCACAGACACTGCTGACCGCTCCACCCTGAGGCATGAGTAACCAGTGCTGCCAGCTCCCTCTTGAGCGGTATAACCCTGGCAAGACTCCACCCATTATTAGTCCACCACTTATGTCTCCATCTGGTCTGCAATTCTCCACCCTGCCCTCCCCTCTCTGCTCTGACTGGCCTCACTTTTTGTATTTTATTTTATGTTATGGTAGTTTATTTATCTATTGACTATTTTGAGCCAGGGTCTGGCTCTGTTGCCCAGGCTGGAGTGCAGCATCACCATCATAGCTCTCCGAAGCCTTGAACTCCTGGGCTCAAGCGGTCACTCCTGCCTTAGCCTCCCGAGTGGCTAGGACTACCATGGTGCGACACCACGCCACTCCCAGCTAATTTTTAAATTGTTTGTAGAGATAGGGTCTCCGCTATGTTGCCCAGGCTGGTCTTGCACTCCTGGCCTCAAATAATCCGCCCGCCTCGGCCTCCCAAAGTGCTGGGATTATAGACGTCAGCCACCTCACTGGGCCACCTTTTGTAGATTATTGTTTGGAATGCCCCTCCTAGTTCTCTAATTGGCTTTCTCGGATCCCTCTTGACCCCACCCTTTGTCCTTTTAAGGTATAGACCACACCCCTTCTCTAATTGATTCCACCCCTCAGGCCTTATTAGGGTTGATGCAACCCTTCCTGCTCTCTAATTGGTGTTTCCCCATATCGCTATATGTTCCGGAATGCCTGGCCATAGCTGATTGGCCTACCCATTTCCCTCAAGGCCCCGCCCTTGGGTTGGGATCGCCCTGCCCCTTCCGGTCTTCCCAAGCACTGGCCACCCAGTCCTTACATCGTACACAGCTCGTCCGCCCGACCTCGCAGCTCCTGCAAGCCCCGCGCCGTCTGTGCCTGCTCGCGCTGTGCCCGCTCCCACTGGCCCAGGAAGCCGTCGACTCTGCCGCCCAGGCCCCCGAGCAGTCGCAGGGCTTCCTGCACCGCCCCCTCCTCCTGATGCCACCGGGCGGTCAGCGAGGACACCTCTCTCCTGGAGGGGCAGAGAGGGGGAATGGGTCGGGGCTAGGCTTGGACAGGTCCCTATCTGCCCCCACGAGATAGGCGGAACAGGACTCACCTATCTCTCTCCACTGAGACCATGCCGGTGGCTCCAGACCCACCCAGGTCTCCAAATTTTCTTGCACCCTCCATTTGGTGAAATTTGGTCCTGTCCTCCAGAGCCCCGCCTTTATCTCCTTACTTTACTGGCTGTCTTGGCCCTTCCCTGGTCACGTCCCCAACCTCTACCTGGGCTCCTCCACGCACTGCCCTCCAAGGCACTGCCCACCCTACTCTGCCCCATTTGGTGCCTCCAGGACCGCTCCTCTCCCAAGTCCCGCCCACCTCAGTTTCACCAGGCCTGGACCTGCCTCCCAGCAGCCCAGAACTCAAAAATTCATTATTTTGTCCCTCCCTTGCTCAGGTCACTGCCTTCGGGGCACTCCCTCCTCTGCTCTTGGAGACCCCAGGCTTGTAGTCCTCCGATTAGAATCTTTGAGGCTCCTCCCCTGTGTCCCCGCCCACTGCAGCTCCTGGAGACTCTGCCCACGCCTCTGCCCACCTTCGTTCCTCGAGGCTCCTCCCATGTCCCCTCCCACCTCAGGTTCTCGAGGCTCCACCGATATCACCGCCCACCTCAGCTCCACGAGGCTCCCTGAGTCTCCACCCATGCCTCTCCTTGAGAACCCCGTCCCTTGGGTCCCGCCCACCGCAGCTCCTCGAGGCTCCACCCCTGAGTCCCCGCCCACCTAGTTTCGAGGCCCCGCCCCTAGGTCCCGCCCACCTCAGCTCCTCGATGCCGGTGAACACCTTCTGCAATTCCTGCTCGCTCACGTAGGGGCCCTCACCTGCCCGAGGCCCCATTCCCCAGCCTGCGGGGACCAGGCCGCGAGGCCGCGAGGGTTTGTCAGGACTCCCTGGCGGGCCAGGGCAGCCCTGGGACGTGGCGGCGGGGCCCAGGCCGTTCCGGGAGAGGCCAGCCTCCGGCTTCTGCTGCTGCTCCGGCTCCTGCAGCTCGGTCTCCTGCCGTCGCGGCGTCTCATCCTGCAGCTGCTGCTGGAGGTAGCGCAGCTTCTCCTGGTCGGTAAGGGAGGACGGGACGGGGTCACAGCGTCCAGCCGCTTTCCTCCCGCAACCACCTCTACCCCCAAATCCGCTCCAGTACTCCCCAAGATTGGAAGTAGAACGCCTGTGGGGACAGGATGTTGGAAGTCCCACTGGCTGTCATTAGGGAGGGGAGGCACCATTTGAGGCCCAGTTGGACTCCAATTCCCGCTAACCTCCCACAGCCTGCCTCCAGGTATCCACCCGGCCCTCCAAGCCTTCCAGGCGTCAAATACCAGTCCCGGCCACTTGGCAAGAACAACTGAAGCTTTCTCAGCATTTTGTTGGAAAATGAGTGGGCATGTGGACAGGACAGGCCTTCTCACTTGAAGTCCAGCTCGAGTCTCTTTCTGGGACCTGAATGTGACTTCAGGGTAAGAGTACCCCAGCTGCGTGTTGGAGCCTCATTTGAATCCCTCTTATCAGTGGGTTCTAAGGATGACTGTGTGCACGCAGGAGCAGTGTGGTGGTGGTGTCGGGGCGGGGAGTTCCACCTAAAAGTGTATCTTGAGTCCCTCGCGCATCTGACCTCCTCCCACAAATCCTGGGACCTCCTCCATTCCTTACCTCCAGCAAGGCAGAATTCTGCTTCAAGACGTTGGTTTTGATTTCAGCATCTTCCACAGACCGGGTCACCTTCCAGCAGTTCTCCTGGGTCAGACACCAGGGCGAGGGCCCTGCCTTCCCATTTCAGTTCTGCCTCCCAACCCTTAGCCTGTCTATTTCCATACCGGCTCCAGGCCTCCCAGCCCCTCAATACAAGACACACTCGGCCAGGCGCGGTGGCTCAAGCCTGTAATTCCAGCACTTTGGGAGGCCGAGACGGGCGGATCATGAGGTCAGGAGATCGAAACCATCCTGGCTAACATGGTGAAACCCCGTCTCTACTAAAAAATACAAAAAACTAGCCGGGCGAGGTGGCGGGCGCCTGTAGTCCCAGCTACTCGGGAGGCTGAGGCAGGAGAATGGCGTAGACCCGGGAGGCGGACCTTGCAGTGAGCTGAGATCCGGCCACTGTACTCCAGCCTGGGCTACAGAGCCAGACTCCGGAGTCTCAAAAAAAAAAAAAAAAAAGACACACTCACCAGCTCATTTCCTTGGCTAAAGGGATGGCTTCCTCCTTAGCCAAACGTGCCAGAGTGGTACCCCTCCACTTCCTCCCACCTCTTGTTGATCCACCCACTCCATTCCTCCCTTCTTTCTTTTTTTTTTCTTTTGAGACTGTATTGCTCCAGCACCCAGGCTGGAGTACAGTGGTGCAATCTTGGCTCACTGCAACCTCCACCTCCTGGATTCAAGTGATTCTCCTCCCTAAGCCAAGCAGCTGGGATTACAGGTGCGCGCCACCACACCTGGCTAGTTTTTGTATTTTTAGTAGAGATGGGGTTTCACCATGTTGGCCAGGCTGGTCTCAAATTCCTGACCTCAGGTGATCTGCCCGCCTTGGCCTCCTGAAGTGCTGGGATTACAGATGTGAGCCACTGCGCCCAGCCTCCTCCCCTCTTTCTTCCACCCTCTTATTCCCATTCCCCTCTCCCCACCCACTCCTGCATCCCACTGGCTCACCTTGAGTTGAATGCAGTACCCCTCCAACTCTTCTGCCTCTTGCCGCCTTCTCTCCAGATTCTCGCTCAGCACAGAACACTCACTCTGGAGCATGGAAGGAGGAGAGGTTAGCCAAGGACACAAGGGGACAGCCTGTGGAAAAGAATATCTGGGCCTGGGAAGGTTCCTCTCCCTTCTGAGTCTCAAGCTCCCCAACTGAGCTATGGGTGTGTTCCACTGGAGGCAGGCTCCAAGCAGGGAAGTTAGCCCTGGAGAAAAGGCAGGTGTTGGACATAGGGTGTCCTCACACCTGCAGAGTCTGCACGTGCTGGTTAACCCGGGTGGTCTTTTCCTTCAAGCTGGTGATGGAGTCTTTGGCGCGGACCAATCCACTGTTGACCCCACTCTGGGGAAGAATGGGAGACAGGTGAGTTATATGGTGTGTGGGTGCAAGCCCCAAGCCCAAGAAAAATTCCAGAACTGGGAGGCTGTGTTTACGCTTTGATGTTGCCCTGGAATGGCTGTGTGACTTGGAGCCAAGAGCTATACCTCTGATTCTTAGCATTCCTGTGCAGCAAACCCAGGGGATAAATGACCTTTCTTCATGGTGGGCTGGGAGAAAAATAGAATCCAGGAGGGAATAGGAGATGGAGGTGGGGTGCTCAGGCACGTGGAGGAAGAAGGATGAACTCAACCAAACACTGAGCTAAATGTGTTTGGGGGCCAGGTGCCGTGGCTCACTCTGGTCATCCCAGCACTTTGGGAGACCGAGGTGGGTGGATCACTTGAGGTCAGGAGTTCAAGACCAACTTGGCCAACATGGTGAAACCCCAACTCTACTAAAAATACAAAAATTAGCCGGGCATGGTGGTGCGTGCCTTTAATCCCAGCTACTTGGGAGGCTGAGGCTGGAGAATTGCTTCGACCTGGGAAGCAGGGGCTGCAGTGAGCTGAGATTGCACCACCACACTCCAGTCTGGGTGACAGAGCAAGTCTCTTAAAAAAAAAAAAAAAAAAAAAGTCCTTGGGGTCCACATAAAAAGATGAACTTTGAAAACACATGCCCTGGCTCTCTCTCCAGGAAATGGTGAATTACAAAGGAAGCCCCTTTTATTTTATTTTCGTTTTTTGTTTGTTTGTTTGTTTTGTTTTGTTTTGTTTTTTGAGACGGAGTCTAGCTCTGTCACCCAGGCTGGAGTGCAATGGCACGATCTCGGCTCACTGCAACCTCCGCCTCCCGGGTTCATGCCATTCTCCTGCCTCAGCCTCCCAAGTAGCTGGGACTACAGGTACCCGCCACCATGCCTGGCTAATTTTTTGTATTTTCAGTAGAGATGAGGTTTCACTGTGTTAGCCAGGATGGTCTCGATCTCCTGACCTTGTGATCCGCCCATCTCGGCCTCCCAAAGTGCTGGGATTGCAGGCGTGAGCCACCGCGCCTGACCAGGAAGACACTTTTCAGATCTGAGCACTTGCAATGCACCAAGCACTTGTCTTTTATTCTTCACAACCACACCTCTTGAGGTTATTTGGCCTATTTTACAAGTGAGACAAATGCGTCTCAGAAATGGGCTATCCCTTGTCTTCCCAAGTACTCAGCACATTAGGTGACCTCATCAGAATCTAGATTCAGAACCCTTGTTTTAAACCATGACACCATGTGGCCTCTGGTCATCATTACTTTATATCACATAAAATGTTGTGCAACTCCTGCCAATCTGTGGTTCAGGAGGGATGCATGTAGTAGGATCCATTCTCCCAGCTTGGACAGTTACAGAAGCCTTAGCCTGGCATAGGACTGTCCAATCAGAGACTACATTTCCCAGGTTCCCTTGTGGCTAGATGTGGCCATGTGACTAAGGTCTGTCTAATGGAAAGTGAGTAGAAATAATATAGTCAATTTATTTTGGGGAGAGGTCGGGGGGGTCTCTCATTATTACCCTGGCTGGTGTGGAGTGATACTATCATAGCTCACCAACTCCTGAGCTCAAATGATCCTCCTGCCTCAGCCTCCCAAGTAGCTAAGACTACAGGTGCTTGCTACCATGCCCAGCAAAATTTATAAATGTTTGGTATAGATGGGTTCTCACTATGTTACCCAAGTTGGCCTCAAACTCCTGGGCTCAAGTGATCCTTTTGTGTCAGCCTCCAAAACTGTTGGTCTTACAGGATTGAGCCACTGCACCCAGCCTCCTGTCTCTCTCTCTCTCTCTCTTTTTTTTTTTTGCCTACATCATTACTTGGACTGTGCAGAATTATAGTCAATTTCTGAGTCATCCCTTAAAGTAAGGAATAAGAACTTTCCCTTTTTCTCTCATTTCACTGGAATGCACAATTGAGGGCTGTCTTGGACCATCAGATAGAGGACACAACGAGACAGAAGGAGCCTGAATCCTTGACATGGAGCCACCATACTCCATTCCAATCACCTGTGAAGACTTTCAGGGTGAGACATTACATCTTCTGTGTTATTTAAGCTGTGTTATTTTGTGGGGTTTTTTTTTTGTTTGTTTGTTTTACAGTAGTCAAATGTATAACTTCAATATCATTGACGTTCTTATTTCACACTTGAAGGGAAAGAGAGGCAGAGAGCCATTTGCCAGCTGGTTATGACCAATTCCAGCCAGTGGAAGGGAAGTGGGCACTGGTGGATGTGTGGAAAAGACAGGCATGATCTCTTCCCCTGTTCCTCCTGCTGAATGGCTGGAAGGCAGTGGTGAGAGCAACTGTCTAGAAATGGCCGAACAACCACAACATAGATGCCTGTAACCTGCTGCATTTGAAGAGCAGAGCTACTATGCTTATCAAGTCTTTTATGTGCAAAAAAACCACAGCTCTCTTGATTTCTCTCATGGTTGCTGAACTAATACACAAAAGAAAGAGAGAACAAGTTTCCTCCCTTGTAAGATGGGGGCAGCAACACATTTCTTGCATGATTGCTCTGGGGAAGAAGTGTGGTAAGAAATATTGTATCCAGGAGTCAGAGCTTGCAGTGAGCCTAGATCTGCCAATGCACTCCAGCCTGGGCGACAGAATGAGACTCGGCCTCAAAAAAAAAAAAAAAAAAAGAAATATTGATCCAGCTGACATCAACAAAATGGTGGATCAAAGAATTCACGCGGCGCAGTGGTCACACCTGTAATCCAGCACTTTGGGGGCCAAGGTGGGTGGATCACTTTGAGGTTAGGAGTTTTTTGAGAACAGCCTGGCCAACGTTGTGAAACCCATCTCTACAAAAATACAAAAAGTTAGCCAGGCGTGGTGGCTGGCACTTGTAATCCCTGCTACCTGGGTGACGGATTGACCAAGGAAATCCCTGAATCCGGGAGCAGAGGTTGCAGAGAAGCCTAGATGCGCCATTGCACTCCAGCTGGGGACAGAGTGAGACTCCATCTCACAAAAAAAAAAAAAAAAAAAAAAAAAGCGGTGCGGTGGCTCACGCGCTGTAATCCCAGCACTTTGGGAGGCCGAGGCGGGCGGAATCACCAGGGTCAGGAGATGGAGACTATCCTGGACTAACACAGTGAAAACCCGTCTCTACTGGAAAAAAAAAAAAAAAAAATTCGCCACGTGGGGTGACAGGGCGCCTGTAGTCTCAGTACTTAGGAGGCTGAGGCAGGAGAGTGGTGTGAACCGGGAGGCGGAGCTTGCAGAGAGCAGAGATTGCGGCACTGCACTCTAGCCTGGGCGACAGAGGCAAGACTCCGTCTCAAAAAAAAAAAAAAAAAAAAAAAAAAAAAAAAAAAGAATTCAAAAATTCCACCCCTCCATAAAAACAATGAAAAACTAAACATGGGCTTTGAAAAAAACAATCAGTTTTTTCACAATTCTGGAAATTAACCAAAGGCTTGCAGAAACTCAAGGAGCATTTATTCAAGAAAAGTGACTCTCTATAAAAACGTCAAGACTTGAGGAATTTTAGCTTATCCTAGTCCTATCTTCCACTCCCTAGCTCAGCAGGAACCCTGGAAAGTAACAGCCCACATTTCCCACAGGGAGGAAGCAGAATGAAGCTAGAACTCATTCAAAGCCTTATTACCCAAAGAAGAGTCATTCTATGATTTTTTTTTTTTTTTGAGATGGAGTCTCGCTCTGTCATTCAGTGGCGCGATCTCGGCTCACTGCAAGCTCCGCCTCCCGGGATCACGCCCTTCTCCTGCCTCAGCCTCCGAAGTAGCTGGGACTGTACAGGGACCCGCCACCACGCCCAGCTAATTTTTTGTATTTTTAGTAGAGACGGGGTTTCACCATATTAGCCAGGATGGTCTCGATCTCCTGGCCTCGTGATCCACCCGCCTCGGCCTCCCAAAGTGCTGGGATTACAGGCGTGAGCCACCGCGCCCAGCCCATTCTATGATTGTTAAGTGATGCCTGGGAAGACCCCACATAGAATAGTTGTCTTTCCTTTTCAGAACTGGCAAATCCCTGAAAATATCTCTGATGGTTGAAGGAAAGATTTGGATGTTTTTCCTCTCCAAATCTCATGTTACAATGTAATCCCTTGCCAGGCACAGTGGCTCACACCTGTAATCCCAGCACTTTGGGAGGCTGAGGCAGGATTGCTTGAGCTAAGAAATTTGAGACCAGCCTGGACAACATGGTGAGACCCCATGTCTACAAAAAAAAAAAAACCCACAAAAATTAGCTGAGTGTGGTGGTGTGCACCTGTAGTCCCAGCTCCTCAGGAGGCTGAGGTTGAAGAATCGCTTGAACCTGGGAGGTGGAGGTTGCAGTGAGCTGGGAATGTGCCACTGCACTCTAGTCTGGATGACTCAGCGTCAGCTGAGATTCTGTCTCAAAAACAACAACAAAGAAATGCAACACCCAGGCTGAGTGCAGTGGTTCATGCCTGCAATCCCAGCACTCTTGGAGGCCAAAGTGGGCACATCACTTGAGGTCAGGAATTCAAGACCAGCCTGGCCAACATGGCGAAACCCTGTCTCTGCTGATACAAAAATTAGCCGGGCACAGTGGTGCATGCCTGTAGTCCCAGCTACTCGGGAGGCTGAGGCAGGAGAATCACTTGAACTCAGGAGGCAGAGGTTGCAGTGAGCCGAGATCACGCCACTGCACTCCAGCCTGGGTGGCAGAGTGAGACTCCATCTCAAAAAAAAAAAAAACAAAAACCACCTGTGTGGCACCTCCTTGCTCCCGCTCTTGCCAGGTGATATGCTGGCTCCATCACCTTCTGCTATGAGGCCCTCACCAAAAGCTAAGCAGATGTTGGCACCATGCTCATCAGCCTATGAACCATAAGCCAATTAAACCTCTTTTATTTATACCCAGCCTCGAGTATTCCTTTATAGCAATGCAAGAATGGACTAACATGGAGTGGGAGAGGGAACATTTGTAAAGAAAAAAAAAATGTACGCTTGTTTTAATGTTGCTACTGCCAAAGGCAATGGATAACAGTTGGGGGAAGCAATAAAAAACAAAAAATCTTAAAAGGAAAATCTGATGGAGATATCTTTTGAAGCCTTGAAATATTCCAACAAGTTCTTGGGAAGGTAGAAAGCCACTGGCCTATGTAGGGTTGTGTACATACTTGGGAAAGTTTTGAGAAGGCCCCAAGCTTTTCACCTCTGGCTGACCTTGAAACCTTGAAACACTACACCAGCAGGAAGGGAAGGCTAAGGTAGAGTTGTAAATTGTCTATCTGAGTGTTAAAGGTGTGCCTCATCAGGTACACAGAGCCATTTGGCAAAGACTAGAAGATTTTGTTGTTCTTCCAGTTTAAGGAAATCTCTCTCCAGTCATTAGCTAACCACTAAAATCAGAGAACAGACACTTCAGTGGCCAAACATGACAAAGAACACAGATATTACAGGAATAGTTCAGAAAAGTCTCTTTTTTAAAGAGCAACTATAGGCCAGGTGCAGTAGCTCACCCCTGTAGGGAGAATGAGGTGGGAGGATTGCTTGAGCCCAGAAGTTCAAGACCAGCCTGAGCAACACAGTAAAACTTAATCCCTTAAAAAAAAAATAATAGGCCAGACGCGGTAGCTCAAGCTTGTAATCCCAGCACTTTGGGAGGCTGAGACAGGCGGATCACGAGGTCAGGAGATCGAGACCATCCTGGCTAATCCGGTAAAACCCTGTCTCTACTAAAAAACACAAAAAATTAGCCAGGTATGGTGGCAGGCACCTGTAGTCCCAGCTAGTCGGGAGGCTGAAGCAGGAGAATGGCGTGAACCTGGGAGGCGGAGCTTGCAGTGAGCTGAGATCACGCCACTGCACTCCAGCCTGGGCAACAGAGCAAGACGCTGTCTCAAAAGAATAATAATAATAAAATTATCTGAGCTTGGTAGTGCACACCTGTAGTCCCAGCTACTCAGAAGGCTGAGGCAGGAGGACCCCTTAAGCCCGGGATTTAGAGGCTGTAGTGAGCCACAATCATGCCACTATACAGTGGCCTGGGAAACAGAGCAAGATCCTGTCTCAAATAATAATAAAAATAAATAAGTAAAAATAATAAAAAGCAACTACAACAAGCAATAATAACAACAAATCCTTATGAGTGGGGAGAATCTGTTTCTAGGGTTGCTACATTATGATACTTTATTATTTTATTTATTTATTTATTTATTTAGAGACAGAGTATCCCTGTGTCCCCCAGGCTGGAGTGCAGTGGCACGATCTCAGCTCATGGCAACCTCTGCCTCCCGGGTTCAAGTGATTCTCCTGCCTCAGCCTCCCCAGTAGCTGGGATTACAGGCGCCCGCCACCACGCCTGGCTAATTTTTGTACTTTTAGTAGAGATGGGGTTTCACCATATTAGCCAGGTTGGTCTCGAACTCCTGACCTCAGGTGATCTGCCTGACTCGGCCTCCCAAAGTGCTGGGATTACAGGTGTGAGCCACTACTCCCTGATACATTACGATACTTTAAATGGCCAGTTTTCAGGCCAGGCACGGTGGCTCACACCTGTAATCTCAGCACTTTGGGAGGCTGAGGCAGGTGGATCACCTGAAGTCAGGAGTTTGAGACCAGCCCAGCCAACATGGTTAAACCTCATCTCTACTAAAAATCCAAAAATTAGACAGGCGTGGTGGTACACATCTGTAATCCCAGTTACTGGGGAGGCTGAGGCAGGAAAATTGCTTGAACCTGGGAGGCAGAGGTTGAAGTGAGTCAAGATCATGCCACTGCACTCAAGCCTGGGTGACAGAGTGAGACTCCGTCTCAAAAAATAATAATAATAATAATAAATAAATAAAAAATGGCCAGTTTTGAAGAAAAAAGTTATAAGGCATGCAAAGAAAGGAAAACTATGGCCTATACAATGGAGGACAAGCAAGCAATCAAGAGAAAGTGTTCAGGGGTAGGATGGCTGGGGCAGATTTGAACTTACTAGGCAAAGACTTTAAATCAGCTATTTTAAATATGTTCAAAGCGCTAAAGGAAACAATTCCTAAATAACTAAAGGAAAATGAGAGAATAATGTCTCACCAAATAGGGCATATCACTAAAGCGATAAAAATTATTAAAAGCAACCAAATAGAAATTATAGGGTTGAAGGGCCAGGTGCAATGGTTCACAACTGTAATTCCAGCACTTTGGGAGGCCAAGGCAGGCGGATCGTGAGGTCAGAGATCAAGAACATCCTGGCGCAACATGGTGAATCCCCATTTTCTACTAAAAATACAAAAATTAGCTAGGGATGGTGGTGGGCGCTGTAGTCCCAGCTACCAGGGGAGGCTTGAGGCAGGGAGAATCTGCTTTGAACCTGGGAGCGGAGGGTTGCAGTGGAGCTGAGATGCGCCCTGCACTCAGCTTGGCAACAGAGCCGAGAGGGTCTGTCTCAAAAAAGAATCTAGGGTTGAAAAGTTCAATCACTGAAGTGAAAAAATGTACTAAGAGGGGGGGTCTGTAGCAGAATAATGATTCAGTGACCTTTGAACATAGCTCAACTTTGATTTCCAGTCATTGAGAACCTAAGAACAAACAAAAGAATGAAGAGGGAATGAATGGCTAGCCTCAGAGAGCCCATGGGTCTGGGAAGTCCCAGAAGGAAGAAAGGGGCCAGAAGGAATATTTG